TTAAATAAAGCTGTTATATTTAATATAATCCAAACTAAAAATACTAAATAATAAAAGTATGTCTTTTACAATAAAAAATCCTTTATCACTATTAATGATATTTTTTTTCCTAAGAAGTCATTTGATGTTAAGTTTTTTTTTTTAAATTTAAGAGAAGTTAGTAATAATGTAGAATTGTAACTTGTGAACAAAATATTAAAACATCCTAACAAAATTAAGAAAGAAATCTATAAACACATTTTGTTGTCTAGATACTTTTCTATTTGATAAATTGGTCAATGGATTGACATCTTCGTATCATATTGAGTATAAAAATGCATTCGGGATCCATTAGACGTTACCTAGTTAGGGCGTCCAACGTATAATGATATATGATCTCGGTCAGACAATGTGTCTAATGTCTAATAGTGTTATATAACTTAAAAGATTTGTGTAAGTATGTGCATTTAGCTTACTATTTCTATGCACTCATTATTATAAGATTTTCGAACACAGTTGACAACTTCAGCTACTCAAAATATAATTTCAACTTCTTTTAACACAAAAGTTTAATCATTGGATGTTTTAGATATAATTTTTTTTTTCATTGACCAATTATTTTCTTACATGGACACATTTTAGCTATTGTTTCTACAACCTCATTGATGCTTTCAAACAAAGTTTGGGGACAACTTTGGCTATAACCACATGTAATTTATGCTTCATTTAACACATGTTCGTTCATTGAAGGATTTGAGTATGAAATTCTTTCATTTGATCGATTATTTTCGTGCATAAACACAGTTTAGATTACTATTTTTGCGTGATTATTGAAGCTTTCGAACATACTTAGATGACAACTTCGATGACTACCATAGGTAATTTCTTCTTCCTTTAACACGAATGTATATGTTAATTGGATTTTTTGGATATGATTTTCTTTCATTTGATCGATTGTTTTATGGCACAGGACAAGTTCTTTTAATGACAAATTCTCTTTTCTTCCTCGCCAAAAGTGAATTTTGCTCTCTGTCCATTGTCAATGAACATCAATTTTGCTCAAGGTAATTTGACGTTTTTTGTTACTCCAATGTCAAAGGTCGAAAATAACTAAGGTCAAAACTCGTTTTTGTATTAGTGTCAACATGTATTCCATTCTACTTACCTAAATTTGAATGATTATTAAACCGCAAAATAACCTCCAACATCTAGACTTCTACATCAATATATACATTAAAGAAACATCACCATAAGAATTTCTTTAAGAAATTCAAGGAGAGACAAATTATTTATTATATCATATTATTTTAATTAAGCTGATTATATTTTTTTTATGATTATATATATCTTATTTTATTAATGAATATTCAATTTAGTATGAAACATTTATTTGACTAAATTAATCATTTTCTTATTGAATAAAATTTAATTTATACTAATTTTATAAGTTGTTCATATATTATGATGTATATTCTACAAGATTATGATTTTATATCTATTTTCATGTTTACAGAAATTAAATAATTGCTTTTATTTAACCAAAATAATAATAATTAAATAATGATAAAACTTTTAGAACTACAGACATAATTGAGGAGATAGTGGGCCTCATGTTCGGCTATATAAAGGTAACCTAAAACCTTAAAGTCTCACGCCGGGTCTCCTTCCCTTTATTATGTCTTCATTTTCATATTTTGGAATTGGAAGCCCAAAAGCTGAAAACTCCTCTGTAGACTGTAAGTTTTCATAAAATACATACTTATTTTTTGAGTGTTCTTGTATATTCTGAATAAATTTTTACATATAGTTTGTGTTCTTGTATAAGATTTTCTTTTTTCTTTTTCATTCTGAAGTAATAAGCATTATGTTTTTAACCATTTCTTTTAACATATATATATCTAATTACATTAACAAATCACTTCATTTATTCATCTCACAAAAGAAAGTAAAATAGTCTATCTATCTCAGAATTTAGAACTTCAAATTTTTTAGACATTATGTTAGTTTATACAATCTTATTCACAAATTATATTTTCTATTGTTTAATCTTCTGTGATTTTGCTATCAGGTAAGAAGAGATCCAACAAATGCATGCATCAAAAATCAACGGGGGCTGATTTTATCTTTCACAGCAAAAACATTACATAATCATGGGGTTAGCATATAAAAACTACATTCTCTTCTGATCTACCTGTTTTAAAACTTGCAACATAGTAATGTATTAAGTTTAATTTAAATATATTTTTAATCTTTTAATTATATAAATAAAATTATTTTTTAATTTTAGATTAATATAATCTCTTGTCTTTAAAATTTAATTCTTTTATTCAAATTTTATTAATTTTATTTGAGGTTTCAAATGCATTTAACAAGTAAATCGATGAAAAAAGTTAAATATTATAAATAACTCAAATGTTATTATAAAAATAACTAAAAAATAAACTTATTATATTAAATTTAATTATCAATAAATTCTATTAGTAATAATTAAATAGTACAAACAAATTTTATTCTGCATGTGTAATGAGAAATTGATATGAAAAAGATCAATATTGTGATACCTAATAGGTAAAGGGGCAACTTGAACAGATATACTTTTAATCCTATCTTATATGATTTAAATTCAAAGAAATTTTGAGTATATATTTTTGACAATTTTGTAATCATATCATAAAATTTTGACATTTTTGAGATATGTTTTTTATTATTTTTATTATTTTTATTATTAGCAGATAACTTGTAATAATATTTTAGCTTTAAATAATTTGAATTTCATGTAATATTATTTCTTGTTGTTGTGCTTTCTCTTCCAAAGTCAGCTATTCTTATATGATATTTTTTATCTGATAGATAATATATATTTGTACAAATGAGTTTATTATATATAGATGTAAATGTTATAATTGTTTATAGTATATATGTACGTCATTGAAAAGGTTTTTTAATTTTGTAAAGGAATAATTAAATTCAACTCATACTGTAAGTTGCTTCTTCCCTAAAATTTTCAATTTATTTCCTTGATTGATGATAAATGTAGAAGAAGTTTAACAGTTTTTGATATACTATTTGTAAGTTTTTGTTGGTTGATACAAAAAGTTTTCTGGTGTTGTTTCTGCTTGCTTATGAGAAAATTCTATCATAGCATAATGTATATAGTTTTGCTGATCGGCTGGGTGAAAGATCTAGTATAAAGAAGCCAAATTATATTCTTGATGAGTTAGATGAAGATTTAGATATCTTCCCCACCAAACATGGAAACCCTACATAAAACATTGTCAAAATTGAAATAAGTTACCATTTTCTTTGTAGCTTTTCTATCACTTGATTTCAATTACTCTCTCCAACCACCATCAGCTCTATTGTTTATTATATTTTATGCAGACTTCACATCATCTAGAGAGACCACAACAATTCATTTAATAATAAGCATTATGTTTATTTTTAACCATTTCTTTTGACATATATATCTAACTACATTAACAAATCACTTCATTTATTCATCTCAGAAATGAAAGTAAAATAGTCTATCTATCTCAGAAATTTAGAACTTAAACATTTTTTAGACATTATGTTAGTTTATACTGATGGCAGAAAAATCTTATTCACAAATTTAATCTTCTGTGATTTTGCTATCAGGTAAGAAGAGATCCAACAAATGCATGCATCAAAATCAATGGCGACTGCTAATCAAATAAAGATTTTATCTTTCACAGCAAAAACATTACATAATGATCAGGTTAGTATATAAAAACTATATTGTTCTTTCAGATCTACTGCATGCAACATTGTGGACAGTCACATAAATAATATATTAAATTAAGTTAAATATATTTTTAGATAAAGGGAAACTTGAGCATATATTCTTTTAATCATATCTTATATGATTTAAATTTAAAGAAAATTTGAGTATATATTTTTGACACTTTTGTAATAATATCATAAAATTTTGACATTTTTCAAAGATATTTTTTTTTTACTGTTAGCATGTAAGTTGTAATAATATATATGGTGTAACTTTCTTTTAGGTGGAGAGATTTCATGGCACTGGGAGCTGGAATAAGCAAACCGAGATAAAGGGAACTTTTTTTCTGATAGAAAAAGTAGTATTACAAGATACTTCTGAATCAGATTATTTGTAGAAAAAAAAATTACAGTAGAAAATAAGCCCTTAGATAATTCAGTAGGAGAATTTTATCGAAGAAAATACGGGCTATGCCTTCATATATTGTATCAAACCCAATAGACTAAGGTTTGATAACCATCCAGTAAATCCTAAAAGAGGATTTTAGCCTATGAACCTGTTATGCTGGATGTGGCGTTAAATAAAATTTATTTTTAATCTTAATATAATTTGTATTGGTTTATCAACGTTGAGGATAGTAGATTAAAAATAATAGTTTATCATGTATTCATCTTAAAAAGAAGTGTATAATGTTATTGTAAATAAGGTGTAAAGTTGTTTTGTATTACGAATTACTTATAAATTTTTAACAATAACAGAAATATATAGCTAAGAAAATAATAGAATTAATTAATAATGTTTCTTGGGAATATATATATATATATATAACAAATAATATTATTAATCGTAATAATATTAATACGACAAATGTATATATTATACTTAAATCACTGGTTTCTTTGACTTGAACGGTTCCTTAATTGTTTTTCTTTTTGAAAATATGTAGAATAGTATGAGGTGAAGGAAAATATGTTTTCCACTAATCTCTTCTATAATTCGGTTTATACTTAGTTAAATAGATCATAGTAAAATGAGATTTTGATCAAAGTAAACATTCACTTTCTTTGACTCGTAAAAGTTACTAAATGCATGCTTTGTGAATGCACACGTGAAAATGAAATATTTGTGAGTTTGATTGGTATAACGTTGAATAGATCAGCATCAAGCTTTGGAAACATCTAAGGTTTTATGCATAAAAGACAAATTGCATATTCTAAGATTCAACCATCTTGCATTTAAAATTGACCCATAATCTCTCTTATCGTATTCAAACATGCATTTACTTTCCTCACCAAAGGCTAACAACATGAACACATTAATGTACCATTGAGATGCTGAATTAGGTAAATTGTGCTATTACAAGTTTAAGATAGCTGGCTCAACCAAGTTTATTCAGAAATCTGAGAAATTGTCTGAAAATAAAAAGCTAACAAAGAAAGAACTAGTTTATTCAGAAGGAAGGGAATTAGATTAAACAAACTTTTCATTATGTTTTTTTTTTTCGTTTCCAATAAATCACTTGGCATTGGAATTCTGTCATGAGTTTCTGTTCTGTAGGAAGAATCCCAATCAGCCGTCAGCTCAATTTGAAGAATTTTATAGCAGTCCATCTCATTGCCAAAGAATTTCTGATAAACGCAGCAATGCACATCATAGACAATAAACATTTGATTAATATTCTATAAATCAGGATATAGCTGCTGAGCCTTAAGCGTTGAAATCTTTGTTTTGCATTCTCTTTTCAGCAATTTTCTTGGCCCTTACGGCCTCTTCTTTATTGCACTCCATCCAAAATTCAAAATGCAAAACCTGAAAGTGAGTCACACGGACAACCAAACTACATTTAATGCAGGTTCTATCAATACCACCCAAAGGTCGTCAGGTAACAGTTTAAAAATCACAATGAATTTGAATCTGAACATTGCATGACTGCCATTTGTATTCACTCACTATAATTCATTATAGAAAAAGGACAATATTTTTTAATTATTTCCAGAAGACAGTGTCTGATGAGATAGCAATGCATGGATGCTTTTGTGAATAAAACATAAAACGTTGCAAACAAATAATAAATCACATCTATAATATTGTTATTAATAATTTAATCAAATATAAACTATTACACGTCATGTTGCAAACAAATAACAACCGAATACATTGAAATTGTTAGATACATATAAATACATTGTAAGTTCTTTGAACGAACATCTAAACGACATAATTGTGGAAGCTGAAGCCACCATGTTGCATCAAATTTCAGATCATGTTAATTCCATAAAATTGCTGTCAGAATTTACATTCTAACTCACCTTGTTAATTGCATTGTGATATTAGTTCATTAAAGGACATTCATACATTAATCCATTTGAGAGTGTAATATATCATTATTTCAAGTTTTGTTATTCTTGAAACATATTCTATTCATGCCTACTTCTATTATGTTTATTCATCTACTATGTTATGTTTTTTACAATAATTTGAATCCAAAAATCTGACTAATGGGTTTTGCTTCTAATTTTGTAAAATATACTATAAAATGATGAACTTTTAAGCATTACATTAGTAATAATAGATTTTCAAAATTACAAATACAATTCATTAGTCAGGTAAATGGATCCAATTAATTATTGAATAAATTCAATTAATAAGGACTAATATATGTAATAATACATGTAACTATGAATAATAATATATCTAGTAAAATCCATAATATTAATATAAAAAAGTATTAAATTGATTAAAATGATTATCAAATTTCATTAATGCAAGTAGCTATAAAGAATAGGTTGCAAGAACAACAAAACATAAAATAAGAACAAGTTACATGGTCAGATTAATTAACACTTAAATGTAACTTAATCTACTAACTACACATCAATTCACAATATTAAACAAGTCAGTTTCTCATATATACTAAGCAATATTAAAAAATAACTTTGGTGAATAATATGATGATAATGCAACTAAGTTGCTATCTCCTCCATAATATTGCATCTCTTCTTATCTATTTGCACAATAACATGCACTGTTTATAAGTATATGAAATTAGCTATTTTACTTTCTTTTTTCATATGAATAAATAAAATAATGTCAAATTTGATATACATCAAATACATATGGAATTTTCTTATATGATATTATGCTGCTAATGAAATAAACATTTGATCTTTCACAGCAAAGACATTACATATTATACAAAATCTCATTACCTTATTATATTAGGATCCAAGACACTGCAAGAGATAATGAAATGTTTATTTTATAACTGTTAAGTTTGAATTCTTTGAATAATTTATTAATATTACTATGACAAATACACTTATCTCTTTTTAAGTGATATTTTGTCTAATGACATTTGTTTAATATTTCTTACAAAAGCAATGTTTATATATATATATATATATATATATATTCTTACTTAGATTATTGTGTTGCACTAAACTTGGATGCTAATATGGTGAATTTTTCTACATTATGTATTGTCTTTACTGTGAAAGATCGAATATTCACTTGATAAGCAGTATAATTCTTTAATTTTAAATATAATTTACATTTTTTTATATGCAATAGTGAAGATTGATATTCATCTTTATCATTTTAATAATTTTTGTTGATATTTCATTCATTGTTGAAATATTTTAATTTATAAAATTTCATATATTAATCAGATATATTAAAATTGAATTATGTAAAACATGTGACTAATGAGGCGTACTCATAGTTTTATAAGATATATTATGAAAGGATGAAACTTTAACTTTTATATTAGTTATAATTGATTTTCATCCCTTCACAGTAGAATGTCAAATACTAAAAAAGACAATCAATTAGATACATATTTAGATTCAATTAATTATCAATCCTAAATTTGATTAATAATAAAATCTAATCAATACATGTGACAGTAAGTCAAAATATTTCCACCACATACATTAATATAAAAAAAACTATTAAATAAATTAAAATAGCTATGAAATCTCAACAACCAATGCATATGTGACCATAGTTAATAGATTTGAATAACAAGGAAAAATGAAAATAAAGTACAGTGTCAAATCAATCAAATAATCCATGCAATTTAATATACTAATTACACAGAACAATTTATTCAGTTCAAAATATTGAATTCCAAGATATGTTAAAAAATAATTTTGATAAACAAAATGGTAATACTACCTCTTGTTTTCTTCCTCTCCTTCCTCCACAATGATGTTTCATTCATTATATGTCTGCAAAATAACATGGTTTTAAAGGATGGGATAACAGTAAATAAATATGATTTGTAAATAAATATCATAGAGTTTAAAGAGAATTTCAAAATAATGAAATATTTTATTAATATAAATTAAGGTTTCAAGTTTATAAATTTAACATAATTTCATTTTAATTATGTGGAAAGAAATAAAAAAACTGTTAGTTGTTTAGAAAGAAAAAAAAATACTGATAAGATTAAAGAAAAATTTGAAATATAATTATTTATATATTTTACTTAATAATTTGACATAAAATATGAAAATATAGACAACTTACCGGCTGAGAAAGGAGCTTCCTGCAAAAGAATGAAAAAGAGACGGAAAAAAAATGAGCGCTGAGGATATCAGGTTTCAACTTCTTAGGTTAAGTTTATATAGCCAAATATTATTTAATTATTTTTATTATTTAATTATTTTTATTAAATAAGATATGTAATTCATCATATAACAATAGCTGACTTTGGATTAGAAAGCACAACAACAAAAATCAATATTCTATGAAATTCAAATTATTTAAAACTAAGATATTATTATAAGTTATCTGCTAACAGTAAAAATAAAAAAATATTCTCAAAAATGTCAAAACTTTATGTTATGATTACAAAAGTGTCAAAAATATTTACTCAAAATTTCTTTAAATTAAAATCATTGATATGATTGAAAGTATATCTGCTCAAGTTTATTTCACAGTAGTTATCTTTTTCATATCAAATTTATCAACACACATACAGAATAAAAAATAAAATTTGTCCGTAATATTGTACTATATTATTTAATTAATACTAATAGAATATATTGATAACTAAATACTATATAATGAGTATTAATTATTTTTTCAATTTTATTTAATTAATTTTATAATAACATTTCAGTTATTTATACTGATTAACATTTTTTAATGTTAATTGATAAATTTGAAATCTCAAATAAAATTAATAAAATTTGATTAAAAAATTAAATTTATACTGTTTTAAATATGAAAGATTAAATAAATCTAAAATTAAAAAAATCAAATCTATATCTAAAAGATAAAAAATATATTTAATTTAATTTAATATATTATTTATGTGACTGTGCACAGTATTGCATGTTCTAAAAACAGGTAGATCTGAGGAGAAATGTAGTTTTTATATGCTAACCTGTAATGTTTTTGCTGTGAAAGATAAAATAGTTTATTTGATTAGCCGCCGCCATTGATTTTTGATGCATGCATTTGTTGGATCTCTTCTTACCTGATATCAAAATCACAGAAGATTAAATGATAGAAAATATAATTTGTGAATAAGATCTTTCTGCCACAGCTCATTGCATAAACTAACATAATATCTAAAAAATTTTAAGTTCTAAATTTCTTTTGTGAGATAAATAAATGAAGTGATTTCTTAATATTATATATGTTGAAAGAAATTGTTAAAAATAAACATAATGCTTAAAAAAAATTAGATTCATGTTTTTCAAACGGATACCAATACCATACTATGACATAATATATTAATATAAATTAAGGTTTCATATAAATTTAACATTATTTTTTAATTATCTTAAAAAAATAATAAAAAGATTTTATGAGAACTTACCGTCTTACATAGGAGCTTTCGGTTTTTAGGCTTCCAACCAAAATATGAGAGTGAAAAAGGAAAGAGAGAGAAGCGAGGGAAGCGAGGGAATGAGGCGTGAGCTTTTAGGGTTTTAAGTTACCTTTATATAGCCCAACATGAGGCCTGTAGTTGTAAAAGTTTTATTATTATTTAAATATTTTTGTTCATTAAAATTAATAGCTTAATTTCTTAAAAAATGAAAATAGATATAAAATTGTACAATATGCATATATATGAACAACCTTATATGAAAACCTTCAAGAGATTGTTTATTATTATTAATAAATTAGTTATCTAAATATCTATAAAAATAATTTTGGTGTTTGTAAAAAACTACAAAAAAAATATTAAATAGCAATCAATTTTAGAAATAAAAAATAATTGGTCAACATATAAACTAATATAAATAATAATTTATAAATTATAAATAACTTGTCTCTGCAATAATATCTATTATGAATAAAAAATTATAATTAATAACTAATTATCAAGGTTTTGAGTATCAAAAGAATTAGTATCTAAATTTTTATAATTTTTTACTTATAATAGTGACTATTTTAAAGACTATTAGTAATAGGTCTTAAATTAATATTTAAATTAATCAATATGATAATCAATTATTTCTTGTCTCTAAAATTAATAAATATTTATAAGCTTTCTTATAATGAAATAAATAATAGGTTTTAAGAAATATGTAATAAAAGAAATTCTAATTATTGTTAGTTAAAGTGATACATATCAATATTATATATTCATTTGTATATATAAATATATGATATTAATATAATTATAAAAAAACCGTAATAATAAAATATTTAAATGAAATATTAAGATGTATGATTTTAATAACGTTGTTTTCATTTACTTAATCTCGTAGAAATAATAAATTCTATAAGTCTTTATTTTTAAAAATAAGGAATATTTATATTTTTATAACTTTTGAACTTTTAAGCACAAATTTGATAGAAAATGTATATTGATCTGCTTATGCGGTCAGTCCTCCTTAAAATCTCAATAACGTGTGTTAAGCAGATCAAAATACTTAATTTACTCTATATATATTTTTTTTGTATGCTTATGTATCATCCATTTTTATTGTCATTCTTAATTCTTAAGTATCTATTGGTAGTTGTGAGAAAGAAATAAAGAATAAGAAAAAAAAGAAAAATAATGATATTTGTTTTTGTTCTGTTTTACATTTTAAAAATTTTTCAAATTTTTACACGTAATAATATTATCATTTTCCCTTGTGGATCCAAAAGAGAAATATAACATGAGATAACTAAGTTAAAAACATAATACTTGTAATAAGGTTTAAGGAAGATATGTTGTAAACTTGAAAGGAAGGTAAGCTTTTTTTAGTAAAGCTAGATATGACTTTCTTATGTTTTGGTGAAGGGAGTATGTTGATTGTTGTCCCTGTGCAATCATCTAGAACTAACTCATCTAATACACTATAATAGTCTTAGGCAATAACAATTATTAGATAAAGTTAAGCTAAATAAAGTTGACTTTTAACAAATCCGTCTAAGAACTCCCTTAACACTTATTTAAATTTGCATATAAATGGTATATTAAAAACAAAAAAAAGGAGTTTAAAAAGACTTACAATACCGATAATAAAAGGTAAAATATTTATCTTTTTTAAAATTATTTAATAAACTTTTAATTATTTAAAAAGTATAATAATAAAAATATCAATAAAAAACTAAATGTTTATCTTTTCTACAATTACTTAATAAACTTCTAATTATTTAAAAAAACAATAATAAAAATAACAAAAAAAATAAACCTAATAAAAAGATGATAATATCAATCATCACTTAATTAAGAGTAGATTAAATAAAACAAAACAAAATTTAAAAGAAATTCAAAATTCTAGTGTTTTGATTGGTTGATTAGTTGAATCTTGTTTCTTTGGCAAATAACCAAATTGGTATCCAATTTAAGTTACAACTTGTTTTTAAATCAATTATAGTGTTTAGGATGTTATTTGGATCATTTGGATGATTCTTAGATGCAACCAATTCAGAAAAATTAGGTTGTTATCAAAACTTGACAAGAATAATCGATTATCTTATTTGATAATCGATTATTTCAATTAGAATTTTATACTTTCTTCAAAGCTATAATAGATTATCTTACCTGATAATTGATTATTTTAGGCAGAAAGTCATATTTGCATGAATTTTCTTTGGAATAATCGATTATTAGGTGTTATAATTGATTATCTCTACAAAAAAGTTGTTAGGGCACATGTTTGGTTTATTTTGTTTACTTTTCTTCTACTATTTATGAATGGAAATGTTTTAATACTTTGATGATTATTTGGTAATATATATTGAATATTATGATGATTTATGCATCTAAGATGAAATTCTTAATGGTTGTTTCAAGTAGAATAATGTATTGATGTAGAGACTCGGCATTGAAAGTTATTCTGACGCTCTAATAATCACCCCATCTCAGATAGAGAAGGAGATTATGTGGTGAAGAGTAAGAGGAAGTCTTAATTTATGGTATGATGTTCTTTGTCCATAGACTGATTAATCTTGTGTTATAAGTTGGGGGAAGGGGGTGGGGGAAGGAGACAATTGTTCCACCATTATAAGTGTACAGCTTGTCATAGTCTGACATTAATATATTTATCTGGATTAATGAAGTCTAGAATTTATATGTATGCTTAGGTTTAATTTGGTTTGAAAATAAATTATGTTATATGATTTTTATAATTGTACGAGTTGATTTTTTTATAATATGATATTATTTTTCTTGTGCTGTTGTTTGTGTTTATTGTATGATTTGAAATAATTACTTAATGAGTGAACAAATAGAAGTGAGATTTCATTGGAGGAGACCAAAGCAATGAAGACGGAGATGAACAGTATGTTATAGTTTAGTTAGTTCTTTTTTTGTAGTTATAATGTAAGGAACTTATTCTAAATAAATATATAGTTTCTGTTTAGAATTATTTATATAACTTGACTTATAGTTTTTGAATAACTGTAAAAAAATTATATATTTTTTAATTAATTTTTCTAGTTGATTAAACGTGTACTGTTTCCTTAATAATATGAAATCACTTAATTTGGATTTGAAGACTGATAATGCCAGAAAGTGATCATGGTGTTTGGATACAAATGTATATTTTTGAAACTAATACTTAGACTTAAACAATGTGCCATATCTTGTCTAATGAAAATAATCTACATAATATATTGTTGAAAAGAGATATTAATATATATATATATATATATATATATATAT